GCTATAGTCCGATTGCTTTTGAAGGTGGTTTCTATTAATTGGGCCGGGCAGAAGTGGTATAGTAGAAAGTGACGGCACTTACCACAACACTGCTTGAAGATCAACCTGGATAGCAGGCTATCAACACCAACTAAGTCATCCGTTCCTTCGGGGTCGTTCTCGACCAACTACCAAAACAGCCTTTTACTAAATCGACCATTTTAACTTCTTGACTGCAGTCGAGTTAAATGGGTGTCCAATTATTCTGGGAGGACAAAAACACTGATCGTGAATGACTGGACACTGCAAGTCATTGTATAGGACAACTCGCATTCGAAATGCCGTTACGATCCTGATGGAAGTGGAATGCGTGGCGCATCCCACCAAGGGACTGATCATTGCCCAACAATATCCTTTACTGATCGGGCCAGTACTATAGTTTTTGCCATTGATGGTCTTAAATGATATGGTTACCTTTTTTGCTTCCTTCGATTAACTATCCAGTTGTCGACCAGCTACTGAAGAATACTTTCCACTAGACCCTTTTAATTACTTGGCTGCGGCCGAGGTAAATGGTCTGATTGCATTTTTAAATGGAATAATAATTGATTGCTGTTGAAGAGATTCATGTCCAAACACTGCCGGTATTCTTTCAGTCTATCCCAATAATGGCTACATGTCATTTCAAAACGACACTGGAGTACCGGTAGTGTCCACGGGCAGTCAATATGATCACCAATACCACACTAGCCTTCAGAGCAATCGCCATGATGAGGTAATTCTTCATAGAAGGTTACCTTTCTTCTTCTTTAAATTGTTGTTTTCGTTGATCTCTCCACCTATCAATAGTTCGAGGAAAAAATTCGTTTTACAATGTCGTGAGGTGGATCTTTATGGGATGTAGTGTTGTTTCCCTCTCGTCTAAATAAAAAGCATTTTTTAATAAGTAGATAAATTAGAGGAAACAGACTCAACAGTCTTGTGAACACTCCTGTTTGTACTTCAGTTTATTGACGAACTTCTTGTTGCAGAACAGAATTGGCCAAACCGCACCCATGTATGATCCGTACTATTCGGCAAGAACCACGTCATTCAGCAAGTAAGCAGTTGCACCTTTTTTGCAGTTTTTATTTTTCAGCCCCCCAACAGGCAAGTGGAGGTATCGATTTTGGCGCTCATGTCTTTAGGGGGACATCGAAGTGAGTGGACCACTCGTAGAATCTGGACTGAGCTTCAGGGAGGGAAAGGATCTTGGGAGAGGATAGGAGCAACCATTGTTCTCCCTGGTGTTCCAATCCGGGTGTAACCCTAGTGTCACCTGTCAGCGGTCTTTCAATGCCCTGTGTCAATTCTAAATGGCTCCCCTAACGATAAGGACATGAGCGCCTCGGGTTTTTACAAAGCGGTTTACGGCTTTTTGTTGATGCACTATTCGTGAGTTGTTAGAGAAGGAATGGGTGGTTGAAACTGGAAGGTGGAACCTAATTTGTGATTTTTAGCGAGTCATCATCTGTATGCTCGTCCTCATCTACCGCTGCTTCACCGCATTATCACAGTGAAAGCGAAAATTACAGTCCACATGCGAGCAGGTAATAGTCTGGCTTTATTTTTAATTTTTTGTACAATAAATATTCTTTGTATTTCGTATTATTGTTCAACGTTATGCTTACTTTGTTCTTCACAGATACTATGGCAAATTAGCTCCAAGAGAAGTTGACGAGACGAAGATGTATTCGCGATCCGTGTGCGGGTAAGGATTTCAGCCTTTTTGTTTAGCGATGGGAGCGTGATTGCTCGTGTCCGACTAGATTAATGAATTACCTTTCAGGTCAAATAGTGATAATGGCATAACCACAGTCAGCAACCTCTCTAATATGCCGCGACGTCGTGGACGTCAGTCGAAGGACGAGCAAGCTGGCTGCCGCCAATCGTCTACCGCTGTCGGCTCGTGAAATTTCCGAGATGACTCTTGGAGAACTACACAAAGTGCTGAAGAACGAGAGCCTCACCGAGCATCAGAAGCAGTTGATTCGCAAAATCCGCAGACGGGGTGAGTTTTTAAAAGGATCGATCGGGTTTTTGTAATGGAATGTGCAAGGAGATGATCGTCCATTTTGAAGGAAAGAACAAGGTGGCTGCAAGAACTTGCCGTGAACGTCGCGGTGAACGTCAGCGAACCACAAAAGGAGCGGAGACGTCGTGGAATGTACCGGTTAGTTGGCTGTTAGATTCGATTTGCATGATGTACCTCCACTGGAAGGTTTTTTTAAATGGTGGAAAGGGAAGATTTGCTGCGGACTTTTTTTTATGCGAAGGAGAGAAGATCCCTTTATGGTAAGATGAATAGTTACTACTGACGCATATCGGAAGCAGGGTCAACCGTCCGTTGGACAAAGTCCAACGCGACGACGAGAGTAATGCCGAGAGTGAACGTACGCACGGAGACACAGACGGCTCGCGGGTGGCGAGAGTGAATGCCGGCGCGGAGAGCGGTCAACATCGGTCCAACGTCGCTCCAATATCGGTCCAACGTAACGGTTGACCCTGTTCGGAAGCCGAGTGGTTGTAGGATAATTATGTTTGTAAAGGAGGACTAAACACCCTTGGAACTAAGAGAACCCTCCCCCGATGTTGCTTTTGCGGGGAAGGGTGCGCCTGTAGGGAACTAGTAAGGCTCAGCCGGTGGTGACAGCCTTGTGGAGGCCTATCTTTAGATGACTAATGACAGTGAATCTGCTGGGTCATCAGTCAAAGCATAATGTATGTTGGCCGGCCGGTAACTGGGTAAACTCGTTCGAATGACACCTGTCTTAGTTGCTCTTTAGTCCAGTTCGAAACCGAAGAGAAGAGTGGAGTTCCCATTTTGCTGTTACGGAGCGTTCCCTTACTATTAGCTATTTCCTCACCACTGCATCACTAACCACTTCTACTTTCTTTTCCAGTGGTGGCTAAGTTATCGTACTATCTGTCTTTAAGGTAAATTAGGAAGTCAAGTGAACCATGTATTGAATCACTTTGAGTATTTAGGAACTGGGCAGGGTAGATTATAGGGCTATTCTATCTCGCAACATCTATTCCAATGTAGCCTTTGTAAGTTCCACTTAGCATCACTGGGGTGGAGCTTAAAGGCAGAAAGTCCGGGATTTTCCCGTCAAAATTAAGCCCCTTCTTTGGCAAGTGGCATGGCGGATTACCAGTGGAAATAACATGTACAGACTTCGTTGACAAAAGGCCGCGACGCTATCAGGTTCTAGATGTAGCAAAGCCAGTCTAGCCATTGGACCCATCGCCGCCCATCTGGGCTGTTTCGCTTTGCTGCTGCGGGAAGGGTTCAATTCTCAGCCTCGTCGACTCAGCCTTTATAACTTTCATGGTGATGCAATAGGTGACCCGATTCATAGTCCGTTCAGCTGGATGTGTATCTTACACTCCTTACAGTGGCTTGCGAGCCTATCCAATGTTCAAATCGCCGCTTCTATCATTTCCCCAGAGATGCGCGATTTTAAATAACTCTCCAAGGGCCCAAAAGCGTGGTGACTGGGTTAGGTCTGCGGTTAAGGAACCCCTACCGCTGCGCTGTGTAACTTTTGTTTACATTTTCGATTAATAATTTCGATTATGAATGACATGATACATTTCAGACACATCCACCTGAGGCACCATATCAAATCCACCTCTGAAGACAGGAAGATTCGTTAGAAAAAGCAGGCTTTTGAATTCTCCGCACATTTCCTTACTGAGCCGTTTTGTCTCATTGTATATGTATTTCTTGTGAACTGTTATATCCACAGGATGCCTTTTCTGATTCAGATGATTAATCTACGTATTAAAAAAGTACGAGAAATGCTATAGGGTTCCCCTTTTCCTTTTTCACAGTTTATCGATCTATTCAAAAACGCATTTCTCGTATTTTCATCCATTTTATGCGTTTGAAGCTGTTTTGTGGGTGTTTATTTGATGTTTTCATAGCGATAATCATTATTGATACCTCTTCGACTATACCCATTCTCTGTGGTATCCCTCGAAAACTCCTCGAAGTGTAGTTGATAGCGTCCGAGAGCTTATTTGTAGTTTTTTTTTTAAAGTTTTTTCTTTCTAAAGTGTCGTAATGGCGTTGACCCGCACACATACACAGGCGTTCTGTGTTAGTTGTCCTGCAATTGATTTCAT